TTGGCTATCGTTAGCCTGTGTGTGTCACCTGTGAACCACCTCAATCTTTAACTTGTTCATTGTTAGCATGTACTAGTCTTGCAAATACCATGGGTTGATAGTATGTGAAATGAATGGGAATACTGGCTAAAAGTGTGTTTTCATACGTCTCACTTGAATGTCATGTACATTTAGCTGCAGTAAATCAGATTAATGAAAAGATGATCTCATAGCTGTTTGAATGGCTATGAGATCAAAGTAACCAACATCCAAGTCTCAGCTGGTTAAATATTACCCTCCATCTCTCAGTTCAAATCAGCTGTGACGTTTTGTGATCCCTCCCTGTAATCGCACTCTCGTGTTATCCTCCCCTATCTCTGAAAAAGAGGAGAGCATGGGGAAGTAGAGAAAAAGTTGAGTCTTCTTTCGGCTGCAGTGAAACCGTATTAACCTTTAATTATGGCTTTGAACAGACGTCACTCTTACACTCCCAGGGTGAGTAACATGAGTACTTAACAGCAAATAATGCTGAAATTAATACGACAGTGATACTTTTTGATTAACCAATTTGAAAAGTAACAGTGAGTTATTGCACTATAATGCTAAGAAGTAAGGATTTGTGAGACTCACCATAATGTCGATTTGCGATCCATTCACATCTATTGGCTTCATCAGAGTTGATATGTATTTTTAGTAATTTATAAAAAAGTATAGACAGACCTGTCGATGAGAATAACATTATTGTCTTAATATTTACCACATAAGTAGATTTTTAAAAGGTCTGTCTGTCTAAAACCAATGAATCGTTAGGTGAATTATTTTCATTTGCCGTCTTGTTTTAGTGAGTTTAATCCTCTGTCCCAGAAATATTAAACCTCTTCTGATTTATCCTGCCCTGTGGTTCAAACTAAGATAGCACGGATTCACATGCTTCTACATCTCTATAAAAGGATTCGACTCTTACCGCAGTCCCAGTTTGTCTTCAATGTGTGCCTTTGTCTGAGCAAGGCAGAGAGTCACCATATGACTGGCTGCAAGTATGCCTCTGTGCTGTCAGCCTCAGGGCTGTTTTGTCATTGAATATTTTCGATTCCTGAGACTTGATGTTAAAGGCTAAAGCAAGGAGAATTATGGTACTTTGGAATTCTTAAATATAAACAATAAATTCTTTAGTGTTTCATAACTTTGGCTTCCTTATTTATTGTCTCTTTCCTTCCCCCCATTGTACTCCTTATTTATTATTGTTTATCCACCCTTTCACCTCTTTCTCTTTACCTGTATCTTCAGCTGACCAGCCCACTGATCAGCAGAATGAGCTGCACAGGAACAGTGGAGAGTAGTAAACCTCCAAAGGTGGGTCCTTTTTCTATGCAGATATAACAAAGGACGGAATAACATGGCTTATAACTCAAAAATTTTTTATCCACTTTTTGTCCCCCAGATTGGCTCTATAGTCGAGGTGACAGGAAAGGGTCAGCGCGGCACTGTTGCCTACATTGGCGCTACCCTCTTTGCTTCTGGGAAATGGGTGGGTGTCATACTGGATGAGCCGAAAGGCAAGAACGATGGCACCGTGCAGGGCAAACGCTACTTCACCTGTGAGGAAAATCACGGCATATTCGTCAGGCAGTCCCAGGTTAGTGACCTACCGGTGGGCACAAGAGGAACTGATGATGGTGTTATGGCATCAGCACTGAGCTGTAAAGATCCAAACAGGCAGATGACATAATAAATATACAAATGTGGCAGACTGACATCTTTTATTTTCAACTTTTCTTCTGTTTTCTGTCCGTATTTGTTCATTATTCAAAATCAAGCTTTGTAATTTGTTTGTGTTTTTTTGAATGTTGTCCTGATTACACACTTTTGTTCCATTTTACAGATCCAGGTGGTAGAAGATGCCACCTCACCAGATACCCCTGAGTCTGGAACAGCAAAGACACTTAGGCAAAAAGGTGAGCAAGGACCACAATCGACACTCACGTTTCTAAAACATAATGCCTCAAAGTAAGTATTGATAACAAGAGTGTGCAATGAATTATTTAATTATTTTTTTCTAGACATTCCTGAAACTCCCAAAACAAGCAAACAGGTAGGCAAACACATTTTTGATCTCACTTTTTTTTATTTGTCAAT